TGCCATGAAGTGATGGGACCAGATGCCATGATCTTAGTTTTCTGAATGTTGAGTTTGAAGCCAACTTTTTCACTCTCCTCTTTCACTTTCATCAAGAGACTCTTTAGTTCTTCGCTTTTTTGCCATAAGGGTAGTGTCATCTGCCTATCTGAGGTTATTGATATTTCTCCCAGCAATCTTGATTCCAGCTTGTGTTTCATCCAATCCAGCATTTCTCATGGTGTACTCTGCATATAAGTTAAATAAGCAGGGTGACACTATCTATACACCCTTGACATACTCCTTTCCTGATTTGGAACCAGTCTGTTGTTCCATGTCCAGTTCTAACTGTTGCTTCTTGACCTGCATACAGATTTCTCAGGAGGCAGGTCAGGTGGTCTGATATTCCCATCTCTTGAAGAATTTTCCACCGTTTGTTGTGATCCACACAGTCAAAGGCTTTGGCATAGTCAAGAAAGCAGAAACAGATGTTTTCTGGAGCTCTCTTGCTTTTTCAATGATCCAACGGATATTGGCAATTTGATCTCTGGTTCCTCTGCCTTTTCTAAATCCAGCTTGAACATCTGGAAGTTCATCGTTCACGTACTGTTGAAGCCTGGCGTGGAGAATTTTGAGAATTACTTCGAGCACTACCCCAGCAAGACAATAGGAGGGGCGAAATCACATTCAGAATCAAACCCCATGCCCACCAGAGATGCTCAGAGGGCTCCCACCAGGACCCAGAGACCCCGTAGAGACGAAGACAGAACTGTGTTTGGGTGGCTCCTGAGGAGGTGCGGGTCAGCAGTGGACTGCTGCTGGGGCCGGGGCTCTGGGTGCAGCAGATCTGGGTATGGCATAAGCCCTCTTGGAGGAGGTGGCCATAACCCACCATAGAGCCGCCAGAACTTACAAAGGACTGAGGAAACAGACTCTTGGAGGCACAAACAGAGCCTTGTGCACACCAGGACCCAGGAGAAGGGAGCAGTGACCCCACAAGAGACTGACCCAGACTTGCCACTTGTGAGTGTCCAGGAGTCTCCAGCAGAGGCGTGGGTGGGCGGTGGCCTGCTGCAGGGTTGGGGGCACTGAGTGCAGCAGTGGGTGCATGGGGCCTTTTGAAGGAGGTCGCCATTATCTTCATTGCCTCCACCATAGTTTGGCCTCAGGTCAAACAACAGGAAGGGAACACAGCCCCACCCATCAAAAGAAAATTGGATTAAAGATTTACTGAGCATGGCCCCGCCCATCAGAACAGGACCTAGTTTTCCCCTCTGTCGTCTCTCCCGTCAAGAAGCTTCCATAAGCCTCTTATCCTTCTCCATCAGAGGGCTGACAGACTGAAAACCACAATCACAAAAAAACTAACCAATCTGATCACATGAACCACAGCCTTGTCTAACTCAATGAAACTAAGCCATGCCATGTAGGGCCACCCAAGGACAGATGGGTCATGGTGGAGAGTTCTGACAAAACATGATCCACTGAAGAAGGTAATGGCAAACCATTTCAGTAGACTTGCCTTAAGAACCCCATGAATAGTATGAAAAGTCCCCACCTGCCAGGGCCACCCCAAAACCTTTAGATGCCCTGTGGCCCACAAGGCAGAGGGAGTCCCCAGAAAAAGGATGCATGTGCGCGGTTTGATACCAGGGTTGGGAATGTTCTATGGAGGGATGCTGGCAGCCCACTCCAGTGTTCCTGCCTGGAGAATCCCAAGGACAGAGGAGCCTGGGGGGCTACAGTCCATGGGGTCGCACAGAGTCAGGCAGAACTTGAAGGACTTGAGCACACACGCGGGGAACCGAAGGCCGCGTTTTAAGGGAAAGGCAGCCCACAAGGGGAGGAACCCAAAGACCTTCGGCCCCGCACCGACTTGGCTCCGCCCCTGTGTCCGGCCCCGCTGGGACCGCCACGTGACCGCCGCCGCCATCTTCCTTCCTGGCGGACACTCCGAGCGGCGGCGTCCCCGTCCCACTGCGCAGGCGCGGCCCAGGGCGCAGGCGCACGGGCTGGGGACGCGCGCCACAGCCGCGCCGGGCGCGCTCTTTCCAGGTGGGTCCCGGGGGTCCTGAGGGGCTCGAGAGGCGGGAGAAGTTCGAAGCTCCAGAAGGGCGCGTGTCGGGGACCCGTGGAATCGACTTCCCCCGCTTGGCCGCGGGCGCGGGCCGGGCACCGTATGGGACCTCGCGCCTGTGGTCTGTGACCCCGGGACCGGGCCGCCCGGGGGGAACGTGGACGCGGGCCTCTGTGCCGGGATCAGAGGGGGACTCCGTGCGGCTGGCCGCGCTCGTGTCCTCCCGGGGACACGCTGCCTCCCGGGCCCCGTGTCCCGAGCGCAGGGGCGCAGGGAGGGCAGTTTTCTCGGGGGCGCGAGCCACCGGCCACTGTGACAACTTCTCCGTCCCCAGGTCCAGCCACGACATGGCCACAGCCCTCCTAAGGAGAGTGGCCTCCGCCGTGGGCCCGCTGCTGCAGCTGGGGGGCCGCCCGCTTTCCGCGCTCGCGCCTGCACCCCCGCGCGCTGGTCCTGCCGCCCGCGCGCCCCTCGGCCTGATCGCCGCGCTCCTCACCGCGCGCCCGGTGCTCGGCCTGCAGCCCGCCCTGGGCTTCAAGACCAAGGGCGTCCTCAAGAAGCGCTGCAAGGGCTGCTACCTGGTGAAGAGGCGCGGGCGCTGGTTCGTCTACTGCAAGACCAACCCGAAGCACAAGCAGAGGCAGATGTAGAAGCCCTGCCCGTTAGCCGGTGCTGCCGCACTGAGAGGACGACGGCCCGTGAACACCCTGCAGCCTTCCAGCGCGCTGACTCCCTGCGTCCTGGCCTGCGGCTCACCTCCTTGTGGCCCCGGATCCGGCCAAGCCAGAGCCCCACCTGGGATCCGGTCCCTCTTATCTCGTGTGAACTCAGCTGTGTTGGTGCTCCAGCGGACGGGCGGACAGGCGTCGGGTGGAGGGAAAGCTGGCTTTGTCCGTCGTCAGAGGGCAGGTTCTTCTGAGGCTGCCGTTTCTGTTCAGCCACACCCGTGCTGCAGCCTGTGAATTCAGACTCCTGTTCTCAGCATTCCTGCCTCCAGGGTGAGCGGGGAAGGGCTGGATAGCCTGCTGTGAGTCAGGGAAGACTGAACTCGTTTATATGTATATAAATGTATTTTGGACACTGATTAAATGTGTTTGTCATCCTTGGTCTGAGACTGGAAGTATGTGTGCATACATGTGTCCATGTATGTGTGGGTGCTGTGTGCATTGTATGCATGGGTGCGTGAGTGTTTGTGCACATGTGGGTGTGAGCTGAGTCGGCAAAACTGCTGCTGGGGACTCCACAGAGTGTGTCCTGGAGCCAGTGTGCAGTGTCGCCCATCACAGGTTACAGTGGATGAATGTTTGAGTCACCCTTCTTGGAGTCACTCGTCTCTAAAGGTCAGAGCATGACCGAATCCTTTCATAACTCTTCTTCCCAGTACCCAGTGGACCAGAACTTAGAGCCCCAGATCACAGCACCACAGAAAGATCAGCTGAGGTCAGGAGGCAGAAATCCGTGAAGATCTTTCAAGCGCAGTGTAGACGCCAGGAGTCATGAAGGAAGACGGCGGGTTGTCCTTGCAGGTGAACTCCACACCTGGGCACAGAGGACGCCAGCCCCGGAGGCCGAGTGGCCTGCTGGAGTCAGCTGTCTCTCTCCTCTGCTTCCCCCACATCCCTCCGTCTGCTCCATGAAGTCCAGGAGTCGATGGCTTCATGATTAGGACCGACATCAGCACTGCCCTCGGATGGAAAGAGCATCAGATCCCCCAGGCTCGCGTGGCCTCGCCTCCATCCTGCTGCAGAGAGGCTACCCCAGGCCCGGCTCTCAGTCCCCAAGGGAAGCCAGTTCCAGCCCTGAGGTTCCAAATCCAAGGCACAGGGTCCCACGTCTCCAGGGTGGCTCCCTCCATGCTGAGCTCACAGTCCTGCCTGTCTTCCTTCTTCCCCTCTGAGAAGTGCAGCCTTGGGGGTCCAGGGTTTTCTTATGTTACCAGCCAGGAGCCAGGCCCGAGGTCCTGGTCCATGACCTCCCCAGAAGGTGTGGACATGTCCTTCTTGCTGCCCTCAGCCACCCAGGGCAAGGGGTACTGTCACACATCCTATGGAACAAGACGGGGGCCCCATGCGTGAGGGCCACACATCAGGGTGAAGGTCTCAGGTGCCAAAAAGAGCATCCCTGGAGAAGGGTCACATGAGCTGACAAAAATGGGTGAAAGGCATGAATAGGCTCGTGTCCAGGAGACCCCATAGAGATGTGGTTGTCTCATCAGTAATCAGGAAATGAGACAAACATGGAGTGCATGTCTGCCCTTCAGATTTGCAGACGTTAAGAAATACGTTATCCAGGAGGAACGCTGGCCTCGAACAGAGTTTCCTATAAACTGCAGGTGGTGGTGTCTGCAGGCACCAGGCAACTCTTACGTGTAAAACGTTCTTTCTGACCGCGCTCTGGGCGTCATCTCAGTGAGATACTTGCACACACGCAGGAATCCATAGGGCAGCGCTTGTCAGGGCAGAAAACACAACAGTCAAATGCTCTGCCGGGGGTGGGTTGCCAAACCAATGATGACATGGTCCCAGGAGGGTAGGGCACGCGGCCCTGAGATAAATGATTGCTCTCTGAGCTATGACAGACGCCAGCCCCGACAAATTTCTGAGTATTAAGTATATAAAGAAAATTGGACGTTGGGCTACAAAGCGTGTTTTCATTTATGTAAAAAACTCTTACAAATCTTTAACAATTTCCAAGTAAAAATATTTGAGAACTGGTGTAAAAAAGGTTCTGGGGCAAAGCACACCAAAACAGCAGTTATCTGCAGTACTCGGGGGAGGGTGGGATGGGATGGGAATGAAGGTTTACTTTTTGGTATAGGATTTTTTGAGGAATTAGGTTCGTATCTTACTTTGATAAGTGGTATCTAGGAGGAAAGTGTGAACATTTGTGAGCAATCTGCTTACTGAAAAGAATGAGCCAGAAAGGTGGGGAAAGAAAAAGGGGGGGGGCGGGGCGTCTGTCAGGGAGGATGACAGCCAGCCCTCCACGCGGGGCCTGCCGCTTCCCTCCCCTCACTGTCGGGCCAGGACCCACTCGCCTTTCCAGGCTCCACCTGACATCCATGAGCCACTGCACAGAGCCGACCTGAAGCTGCAGGCGCCTGCTTGCATTCAAGACTTTCCAACCTCAGTCTCCTTGGAGGGCTGTGGGATCCCCGGACCATGAGCCCCAGAATCAACTAGATGTTGGAACCCAGTATAATTTATTCTGAGCATTTCTTTCTTCCTTTTTTTGTTGAGGCATATGACATTATATTAATTTCACATGTACAACATCAAGATTCAATATTTGTGTATATTCCAGAACAGTCACCACAATAGCCTAGTTAACACAGTCACCACACATAGTTACAGAGATTTTTCCTTGTCCCGAGAACCCCTAAGATCTAATCTTCAGCAACTTTCAGTTGGAACTTTGTACCTTTTCTTTTGGGGCTTCCCTGGTAGCTCAGACTGTAAATCATCTGCCTGCAATGCAGGAGACCTGGGGTTCGGTCCTTTGTTTGGGAAGATCCCCTGGAGGAGGGCACGGCAACCCACTCCAGTATTCTTGAGTGGAGAATCCCATGGACAGAGGAGTCTGGTGGGCTACAGCCCATGGGGTCGCAAGAGTAGGACATGACTAAGCAACTTTCACTTCACTTCATTCATTGTTTATTAAGTGATCTTCTTGACTAGAAGTCAAGATAATCTAGGTGCAAAAGTGGGAGTGTCACTTCCCTGGGCTGCTGTAACAAACTCTCAGCTTTGGTGGCTTCAAGCAACAGAAATGCGTTCTCACCCCTACTCTAAGACTGCCTCATTGTGACATCCTTAACTCCATCACGTCTGCATAGACCCTGTTTCCAGGAGGGTCGCATTCTCGGGTTTTGAGTAGACGTAGCTTTGGCGGGATGTGCTATTTGATCCACTGCAAGTGGTGTCGAAGATTTTTGAAAACAATTTTCATTTAAATTAATTATCACTACTAGATGATGTATTCAAATTGTTCAACATGCAAAAGATGCCCATATTCAGTGCTGGTCTTTGTCTCCAACTCCAGACCCAGGCTCTCTCCCTGGAAGCAAGCTTGATCATCCTTTAAGTCCTGAAAATCTACAGGCAAATTCCTGCGACTCCTGTGCCTGCCCTGTTTTGAGCACTGTCCTAAACTTGAGGACATCTGGACAGTGGCTCATGTCAACAACCGCAGGGCATGCTCCTGTCACCAGTGGCTCTGCCCCTATGTCTTCAACAAGTTGATGTAGGATATTGTAAGTGTTGTTTTCAGTTTAGGGCATTTTGCTGCGTCTGTATGATTTTTTTTCTTTTTACATTTTTTTTTTTTGCTGTGTAAGGCATTTTGTCCTGTTTTGCAATTGGTGGTTGTGATTTCCAATGAGAGATCAGTTACTTTTTCCTCCAGGTTCATTTTTCAGTTTTAAAAAGCACAGGAAAAAAAATGAGAAATTCACAGAACAAAAAGCACTGTCTTGCATTGCACGAATAGTTGAAGGTGGCAATGTGGTACTTAAACAGGAAAAGAGCTGTCTGGAAGCCAGCTCTGGCCAACCTCTGGGGTCCAGTCAACCAGCTCCCACATGGGAGCTCAGACAGATTCTTCGTCTGGCTGGCATCATGAAAGATTCATTGTCTTCTCCCCAGAAAGTGATGCATGTTTTTCCTTATATAGTGATGCCATTATACTAAGAACAATATGAATCACAGTGCAGAAATACTGGCAGTTCATTCAGTCTTTCAGGAAGTCCAGAGTGTCTTTCTCCTAAGATTTCTATCTAAAGGTGTAATGATTCTTTCAATAGTTGATGATATGGAATCACCTATTCTAAAACGAAGCCAGTTTTTCACTTATAACTTTTACTGGTTCAATTACCTAGTTTGTTGTTTGAGATGATGGAATCAAGGAGTCTTCTCTGGTAAGTGAATCAAACTTTGTGATTCATCACTTATTTGTCCATTTCTTTTGCATTATGTAATGTGCCAGACACTTGGTAGGTGTATGGATTCATACATTGCAGTCATCCTGTCTGATAGCTTGACAATGTGAATCAAATGCGTGTTGTCTCCACTGCAAGAGACAGAGGCTGGAACTAGCACACACACACACATGAACCAAGTGTGCGGGGTCTTGCCCACATGCATGGAGAAGGGCCATCGGAAGGGCACTGTGAGCTGTTGGAGCAGTTGTCGCTTTCTGTCCTCTCATCACCCATGATTCTCGGTCTCGGTTTCTATTCTAGTGGCAACCTCCTGACACAGTATGGTGGCTGGAGCTCCAGCTATCATGTCCAACATTCCAGGCAGTCAAAGAGGGAAGGGTTAGAGCACAAACTGAACACCAGCTGCCCCTTGTCCTCATCCCTTTCATCCTTTTAAGCAACTTTCCCCAATTCACCCAGCAACTTTGTTTACTTGCCAGAGACTGCCCTGAGAGCAAAGGAGAAGTAGAAATACCGCCCAGCTGTATTCAGGGCCCTACTGCCCGGGGGAAGGAGAGAAAGGGAGCAGATGCCCAGCTGGCGGCTGCCCACGACACATCTATGTCCAGAACGTTCCGCGCATCTCCGAGCAATGGGCCCCTCCATGAGGAAGGGCTTCATCCACTGCAGGAACTTCAGTATAACTTGCTTACTAAGAATTGTAAGCGGTAAGATGCCATAATAGTTGCTGGTTTGATATTCTAATACTTTCTATTAAAAGGCTTTTTATTTGGCCTTTCAGTTCTTGGTGCTTTCAGAAGTTGATTTCTTTACTATTTTGAAATGCAGATCTTGCTGTTCGCTTTAGTGTTTGGAGTAATCACTGACTGTGTGCAGGGGTTGTTATTCTGGCTGTTTAAATAGGGTTTTTCTCCCCCCCCCNGGCAGAGCGGCAGAAAGCCTGGGGGCAGAGGCTGGAGTGGGTCCCAGGTGTGCTGGACGGGTCCGCAAGCACAGGCTCCCGGGGTGGGGGACTGGAGGGAGCTGAGGGTGGCAGGGGTGCTCTGCCCAGGCCGGGCTGAGGTGGGGGGCCAGACCTGAGAATCGAGGACTCCCCCCTCCAAATGAGGGGCTGAGGCACCATGGGAGCAGGCAGGCCCTCGGTG